TTAAACTATTTTCTTGTTTCATTGGTTTAGTTCTTGATCATAAGGTGGGTTCATTTATAATTTCTGTTTCCTCAAAGCCCACATTATTGGATGGCAAGATATAAGAGTTAGTTCTTGCAAAGGTAACAAGAATTCTTGCAAAGTTGAAGGAGCTGAAGCTAATTTCTGTTACCTTAAAGCTAATTTATGTTACTTTTAGCGGTTGAAGGAGCTGAAGTTGGATTTATGATTTATCATATAGAAGCTAATTCTTGCAAAGGTAACGAGAATTCAAATAAAATTCTGATGAAGGTAATTGATAAAAATTATTAATTTTGTTAATGAACCATAATAAATAAGAATAATAAAAATTTTATTAATGATAAATAAAAAATAAGAATAATAAGAATTTTATTAATTCTTATTACCTTTGCAAGAATTTTATTTGGACATATCTTTATATTAATGAACCATAATAAATGTGATAAATAAGAATAATTTTTATAGATGTAGAAATATAAACATTTGTAAAAAAACTAGAAATATATTATATATTATCATCATCACAAAATTAGTTACGTGATTTGCACATACACAAATACTAGTACTACTTTAAAAAGCACAAATGGCCTAAAGAATATTTTTGGATTTTTTTTGGGGACAAAATTTACCCCTCTACATTTTAAATTTACTAATAAAAAGTAAGGGAAAATAGGGTAACCAGTTATTGATATTAAATGAGTTGAAAAGAAGTAATTTTATTATATTCAATGCATTCAATTCCCTCTCAATGGATCCAATATTTAATTTATTAACTTGCATTCATCTTCAATGAATCTTATATTTAAGTCATTTTTGTTTTTTCTTATCATTAAGTTTTATTAATTAAATCCATACTTAATAAATTAATAATTCTAAATTTCCAATAACATAAAAGCTTATACTTTTAAAATCTACCTAGTAAAAATAGAATTGTCATCTAGGAGGTGATAAGAAATTAAACAATTTTGGATCCAATGGGTTAATCCATGTTGCCATGATTAAATAATAAAATTCAAAGATAGATAAAATAAAAAATTGGGAACATTTTTAACATACATATTAAATAATAATAAATATGATAAATAAGAAATGGTTTTATTAATGAAGGAAATTGAATGTAAAATTTAAAACCAATTGGAAATAAAAATATTTTCCTATTCTCTCTCATTAAATCCTATACTTAAGATATATTTTTCTCATCATTAAATTCTTGTAATTAAATCCATAATACTAATTTTATTAGTATAAAAATAAATAATTTGAAAACAAAACCATTTTCTTCCCTCTCGGTGGTAGGAAAACAATTTTATCATTTGGGGTCAAATGGATTAATAAATAATTCCATAATTAAATAATAAAAATTTTAAAATAAATAAGTATAAAGTGTAAGAAGTATTTTTATTAATGATGAAAATAGAATGCCAAATTTAAAATCTACCTAGAAATGAAATGATGTCATAGTCAAATAAGAAAATTTTTAAAAATAGAAAATACAAAGAATCATAAAAATAAAAAAAAAAGATAGAGAAAACTTTGGGCACGTATCTAATGTTATATATTTATAAAAAATAAAATATTGGGTACATCTCTAATATTATGCATTCATTATATTAAACAAAAATAACTATTATACATAAGAATTTTTTTTTTCAATGATGAAAATGTTATACAAAATTTAATGTTCACCTAGAAATCAAACTATTTTTCTTTTTGAGTGGTGGGTTAATGGTTTAGGTCAAATGATATCGTAGACAAACAAAAATTAAGTGTGATAAGTAAAATGCTATTTATATAATATAATTGAAATATATAATTTAAAGGGAAAATTATAGTCAAAGTCGATTATACATTTAAAAATAGGTTGTAGGTTGGTCCAGAAACAAATAAAACTCTGACAACTGGCTCTACATTTTAAATTATAAAAACCCCCCACCATGTCATTAGAGGCTTATGTGGTTGTTGATAACATGGGACTCTTAATCCATGTTGGATACAAAAACAAAAGCCTATACCGAAAATAGGTTTTCAATTTCTCTCTCACTCCCTTTGTCTCTCGATCTTCCTCCTTTCTCTCACACTTTCGCAATCATCTCTCGATCTCCCACTCTCTCAACTTTGGTAGGTAGTCAAATCAAAACCTCGGTTTCCCTTCCATTCTCTCTCTCTCTCTCTCTCTCCCTCTCTCTTCTTCTTCTTCTTCTTCTTCTTCTTCTTCTTCTTCTTCTTCCTTACTCTCCCTCTCAGTTAATATCTCCTTCTCCTTCAATCTCTATCACTCTCCTGCTACTTCTCTCATTCTTTTTTTTTATATTTTTCTTACAAACTTTTATAATATTAAATAGACCGTATAAAAAAACTAAAGGGAGAAACTACTTATACAATCAAGTTATAAATTTCTATCAAGTTGGTGTAAATTTCATAGTTAAGAGTTTCTTGTGAACTTTTATCAAATTGGTGTAATGATTTTTGAACTATACCAAGTTGGTCTCATGTTCTTTTATATGGTCTGATTAATATCATATAAGTGTGTAATAAATAAATAAAAAAAAAGAACAAGAGGAGTGTGAGAGAAACTAAGGGAGAACGATAGGTAGAGAGAGAATGAGAGAAATTGATAGAACATAAATACAAAAACCGAAAACCATTTGTATTTATTTTCAAATCATACAATCGTTGAGCAGAGAGAGAGAGAGAGAGAGAGAACTAAAAACCATTTTCTTATTTTCCAATATGGATTAAGAGTTCCATGTTGGCAATTTCAGTATAAGCTTTTTGTTGTGTCCGATATGGATTAAGAGTCCCATGTTGGCAATAGCCACATAAGCCTCCAATGACATGGCAATGGTTTTATAATTTGAAATGTAGAGTTAATTGTTAGAGTTTTGTCGTTTTTTAGACTAACCAGTAACCTAATTTTAAATGTATAGCCAGTTCGGACTATAATTTTCCCTAATTGAAAATGAATCCGAAAGCAAAGCTATTTTCTTATCTAGATGGTGGGTCAATGGTCCAACTTTTCTAAGAAACCCATGATGTCATAATTGAATAATAAATATTAAAAAAAAAAGATAGAACACCAAAAATGAAAATGTACTGAATTTTGTCAAAACATTTTATAATATTTCTAATGTTATATATTCATCATATTAAATAAAAATAATTGTTAAAATAAAAGTTATTTTTATTTATGATATAAATGAAACACAATTATTATTATTTGTTATTATTATTATTATTTGGTACAAACATTTATGTCCATTTTTAATCATTTTGTTACATTTATTAATTTTCAATTTCTATCTTAACTATGATATATCTAAAATTCAAGTAATTAATATGAAGAAATTTTTTTCATACAACACATGTACTTAATTAATAATATAAAAAAATGTATTTAAAGTGAAAAGCCATGTGATATGAACATGATACCACACAAATGAATACACTTGTTCTGTGCACATGGAACTAGCCATGGCCAATAATGTTCCATATATACGGGCCACACGAGCCCAGATTAGCTGGAGATTGGCTGGACTGCCTATCATGACGGGGATGCACTGTGGGACGTTCTAGGGCGCAGATCTGAACTGTTCATGTACATAGGGCCACACCCACGTGTACTTACACATGGACCAAAAATATCGCCTGATGCCAGCCATAAACTACATATGTCCCACTACAATTCAAACTCTCACTTCACATTTATGACTAGCCTGAGGTATCATTATTGGTCCCACAGCCCGTTAAACCGCCATCAAAATTCAGCCAATCCGTTCCCCATTTAAGCGATTATAATTTAACGATGGATATGACACTCACTATATCTGAATGGTGAAACAGTTTTCATCAATGTTTTAATGTCGATCTCTAACCCGTTTTTGTGTTCAGGCTGTGGGTTATCGGTTTCATGATTTTTAAAATCAAATCGGTCAAGGGTCTGGTTACCGGTTCGAATGGTTTGACTGTTCAATTTGAATGGTCAATCTGTTCTGACAAAATAATAAAAAAATCAAAAAATGGTCAAAACCGTTTAAACAGTTAATTGACCGGTTCAGCAGTTTGATGACCAAAATCAACGGCTTTAGGGAAAAATAGAACTGCTTAGGTGACCGATTTTTGGTTTTTCCAATCTGACCGTCTGGTCTAATCCGGTTTTGAAAACCATGATCAGTTCAACTTTCCAGTTTCATTTCATTTTTAACTGGTTCATGACACATCAACGCATTGTTCTTAAAGGGTTCGGTCTCCAGTTTCGATTTTTAAAATATTAATTAAAATATATAAAAAAGGGGTTTTTTAAAAAAATAATAGGTTAAGATACCTTTGGATGAATAAATCTCAAAAAATTACCTAAAATTACAAAAAACAATCTCGATTAATATCTTATATTTAACAGCTGTGAATACTAAATTATCCTATTTAAATTCCGGAAATGAAGTGGCACTAGGACCAAAGTACTGGATATTAATCCAGAATTTACCCTAAAAAAATCACCCCTACCAAACGTACAAAGGCAAAGCCTCTAAAGTTTGCTCAGACATTTATGTACAACCCGTTACCCGTGACCCAGTGACCATGTCGAACGGGACATCGGTTCAACTGCCCAGATAGGATAATTTTTTTTTTTTTGGTAAATCAACCAAATTCTGGGTTGGAGAAAAACCGGGACCAAAGAGATGACAGTAATGACGGTTCGAACGGATCGACCTTCCGAAACAACGACAGTTGAAAACTTCGGTTTTCATCCAGCGAATCAATGTACCCGAAGGCCAATGATGATGAGTTGTTGAGACGAGACTAATGATGCTCAATTGCTGATGATGCTCAAACTCACCTACTTTGTGCGTATAGCTCGAAATAAGCAGAAATGATTTTTAAGTACAGAGTATAATATTTTCATTCAGCCCTCTCACAAGACTGCCATTGAGGTTATATAAATGATCATGTCCGGATCAATGAGAATACCCGAAGGCATCGAGGAGCAGGGAGCAGCAAGCCGACGGACGGTGAGCCAACCGGGAGAAATCCAAAGGATGTTTCAACGTGGAGAAAGAATTTTCACGGCATCAGAAAGCAGTCAGAGAAGCAATGACGATGAAGAGGAGCCAAAATGGGCTGCACCGGAGAAGTTACCCACTTACGACAGGCTCAAAGTCCCACTTCTGAAGCAGGAGAAGTGCAAGAGCGGGCACCATATCTCTGACCAGGTTGATGTTCGGCGAATTGATCTTGAGGCTCGACGGAACCTCGTTGACAGGCTTGTGAACATCGTTGATCATGATAATGAGTTGTTTGTGCAAAAGCTGCGTGAAAGGATTGACAGAGCGGGGATTACATTGCCAGAAGTTGAAGTACGCTATGAACATCTCAACGTCGGAGCAGAGGTGTATGTGGGTCGAAGAGCAATGCCAACTTTGGTGAATGCCTCGTTGAATATGATCGAGGTGAGCTTAGGAATACATAATGACTGATATTAATGGTGACTTCACTACGCAGATATATGGGTTGGGTTTGAATATTGGTATTATTTTGGTTTGGCAGAGTATTCTGAGCTCCTTTATCATGTACAAAAGCAAGAAAAGTTCCATTGGGATTCTCAAAGACGTGACTGGTATCATCAAACCTGGAAGGTAATAAACGAACTGTCTAAAGTAAACAACATTTGTTTCCGTTTTGTTCTGTTCTTTTGTAATTTCGCCTCCGAATAATTAAACCAATTTGGTTTAATTCATTTCACAGGATGACACTGCTTCTTGGTCCTCCGGGTTCGGGAAAGACTACCCTATTGTTAGCTCTAGCTGGAAAGCTAGATAATAAGGATCTCAAGGTAAATTTGAAAGAATGCTTTTGGAAACATGTTTTTCGCACTACGAGAAAGGTCTTTCACTAGGGCTGTCATTTGGACTGATTTGGTACAATCCTGTTCAATCAATATATATTGCTTCATTTACAAATGGATCATATCAAATTCAGTCCAAATCCATGCAAATTAAGTTTAATTTAGTCCAAATAAAATGCAAATAGATAAAATTGGGTCCAATTCAATCTAAATTGAATCAAATACCAAAATAATATAGAAAAATGCAAATGGACCGGATTGGGTCAAATCCAATCCAAAGTGAATGAATAAAAGCACTTTTGTAAAAATGCTTTCATAAATGTATTTTTGTAAAAGTACTTTTATAAAAGTATTTTGGTAAAAATGTTTTTATAAAACTATTCTCGTAAAAAACACTTTTAAACGTGCTTTCATAAAAGTACTTTCGTAAAAGTACTTTTATAAAAGCAAAAAAATGCTTTTATAAAAGTGCTTTTATAAACGTGCTTTCATAAAAGTACTTTTATAAAATTGCTTTCGTAAAAGTGCTTTTATTAAAGTGCTTTTATAAAAGTACTTTTGTGAAAGTGGTTTCGTAAAAGTACTTTTCATATAATTACTTTTGCAAATTGGACAATGATTTGACATCATGACTGGTTTCAAATTGGACAAGGATTTAACCTCATGATCGAATTATTGGGAATTTGGTTTAGGTCCAATTCAGACTTATAAGAATATGAACCAATTTATTTTGGAGTGGCCCAATCAAATAATTATAATGGACTGTCCAAATCCAATTTGATAAGGCTTGGATTGGATTGGATCCAAAACCAGTCCATTGACACCACTATTTAATACATCATATCAGACCCAAAACAATCATAAAATAAAGGGTAAATTACAAATAGGTACCCTATACTTCGGGGGTAGTGACAGATAGGTACCTAAACTTACAATTGCAACACTTGAGTACCCTGAACTCTTAACAATAGACACTTGGGTCCATCCACTAGTATTTTGTTAGTTAAACATTACATAATGTCAAAAATACCCTTCTCGTGTATTTTTGAGATCGTTTTACGGAATAAAATCTTCACCTAAGAATGCCATCATTGGAAAATTTGAATATGTTATTTGCCACCCATGTGAGAAAATCATCATGGGGAGATGTTCAACTACCTAAAAATGATCTCATAAATACACAAGAAGGGTATTTTTGGTATTATATAATGTTTAATTAATGGATGGACCCAAGTGTCTATTTTTGAGAGATCAGGATACTCAAGTGTTGCAATTAAAAGTTCATGAAACCTATCTATCACTACCCCCAAAGTTCAAAGTACTTATCTGTAATTTACCCTAAAATAAATAAAGGGAAAATTCCCTATTAGTACCCTATGCTTTGGGCCTAGTTCGACTTTGGTCCCCGAACTTTAAAATGTGACAATTCAATACCTAAACTTTCAAAACGTGCCAATTTAATACCTTCATTTAACCAACCATTAAGTGGCATTTGAAAATACACAAATACCCTTTAAGTGTCATCTAATTTTTTGTATCAACCATCTAAACGTTGACAAAAAATGAATAGTCACAAATCCTTGCGCCTTCTATTCAAGAAAGTTGGGGTCACTGGAATGCTCATTAAGAGTCTGAGACATGACCCCAACTCTCTTGAATAGAAGAGACAAGGATTGGGGATTGTTCATTTTTTGTCAACACTTAGATGATTGGTAAAGAAAAATTAGATGACACATGAAGGGCATTTGTGTCTTTTCAAATGCCTCTTAACGGGTGATTAACAATAGGTATTGGATTGGCACATTTTGTCAGGTGTGATTTATTTTAGGAAAAATTCTCAGTTAGTACCCTGTACTTTGGGCCTACCTTTATACATTTAATCACTAAGGTGTTCACAGCCAAGCTTTCTATTGTTGGACAGTGTGCCACAATTTTCATCAAGTCCCCCATCAACCTAGCAAGATAGTGTAAGTGGTGCACCAGTGTTCATGCACCTCTAATGGATTCTCTGATGGAAAGATGAATATGCAACTGATTTGGATGCCTCCAAGGTATCTTATAGAGCAATGAAGAAAGCTGGTTTACATCTGATTTGATGCTTAATCAATCAATGGTTGAACATACTTACTAGTATAAGGTTACTTTCTAGCAACTAGTTTGCTAATTTCTAACAATGGTTAGGGAAGATGGCGAGGGCAATTGATAGAATATCCCAGACTTATTTTGTTTTATTTGGTCTCCAAAAATCCCTAGAATAACCCCAATTGATTTGGGATAACTCATGCGCCAAGTTTACTAACCAAACTCTCCTACTAATTATCTAGGATAAGTTCTAGTGTAACTAAAACTTTGATTCCCAACAAACCAACTCTAAGAATCCTTTTCCAGATCGAAGAGTAATTTAGGGAGAGTAAACTTGTACGGCGTGGGATCCATAGGAATGCACCTAGGATCAATTATGGCAGTACCCAACTCGAGTTCAGCTTCTTTCAGGGCAACGCCCGTTTGAGCAGCCTTTGTAGTTTTGCATTAGAAATATCTCCCTATTTATGTGTTTTGTTTTATGGAGAGATATTCCCAATACAAGGTTGTAAGAAGCTGTTCGGACAGTATGAGCACTGACTTGCCCTGACCAAAGCCGATCTCACCCAACTCCAAGCACATGTGCAAGTAATAGTGGGACCCACATGGGCTGAATTCTTTGACCCTTACTATATGGGCCTATAATTAAGACCATAAATGTCTAACTTTATGCTTGGACTTTGCCACCCTTAAAGCCTAAACCCATTGGTCCTATGTGAATTATTCTGATCAAATTTTTGGGCCTAATAAAACATTTGTTTCACATTCCTTCTTCCATTAAAACTGAACACTAAGAATAGGAGAAGGACCTCTTTCCACTTGTACAATATCAATGTTATGTTTCCTACCTGATGAATCCCGAGAAATCACCAATCCCAAACCAATTTGATATCTTATGGCAGTAGATTTAGGTATCCATAAGAAAGAATATATACAAAGAGTTTTCTCTTTTAATTAATAGAATAGAAGATTTTTTCACAATAATCACCTATCACAACCCATTACTAACTTCTCTAACATAAGTAACTTTGATTTTAAAAGAACGTTACTAGTTGGCATATCAAAAGTAGAGATATCAAAAAATTGACATACTACCACTTTCAAGTAGTGGTGGCAATTGGGCGGGTTGGGTTGGGTTTGGTTTGGGTTGAGTTTCAACCCAACCCATTTAACCCGCCAACCCGTTAATGACCTAGTTATATAAAATTAAATGAGTTGGATTCAATCCAAACCCACTTTAATCCAATCCAACCCGCCTAAACCCATTAATCTTATATTTATGTACTTAAAACAAAAAACTAACTCCTTTTTAACAAATAAGTTAGTCATAGCTTTGTGGTAATAGTAGTTGCTATTTACACAAATGTTGAAGGTTCAAATCACGTTATATTCATGTTATTTTTATACAAGCAAAAAAGCCATTTAATTGTGTTTGGGTTTCGGATTTGACAAACCACATAGGTTCTAACTGGTCAGACCAACTTAAACTATCTAATTGGATTGTCTTCGAGGTAATCACATCAAGTTCAAGAGTAGTTGAACCGTTAGATCTGGATTAGTTCGGTTGGGCTAGACCTTGCCCAAACCGGTTAAGTCCGGTTGGACAAAACCTGATCGGACCGGTACAGTTCAGTTTGGTAGTTCTAGACCCTGATCGAGCCGGTTCAATCCGGTCAGACCAGACTGGACTAGTTCAGTAAATGGTGGATTGATTTTGGTCGACTAATATCAGGTTTGTGCATGGGTTTGGGGCTGAACCTATTGGCCCAAAGCGGGTCAAAAGAAGTAAATCCGACTGTGCCAGATTCGGGTCAGGTTGAACAGATGTGAACCAAATTGGATGATCCAAACTGGACAAAGCAAGTAGGGTGGTTTAGGGTTTGGACCCCACCCGGTTCGACCCATTCCAGATTTAGGTCGGCCCAGATCAGCTTGTACAGGGTCGAGCCGGCCTGTGTGAATAATGGTTGGACCAGACGACCCAAACCGGGCAAAGCAAGCGATATCGAGCCATCCTGTCCGAGGTCTATTTTGGATTTAGGTCGGCCCGAATTGGTGTATGTTGGATTGGGTCAGACCACGTTGAACTGGTCCGGACTTTGGGTCAAATTGATTTGGATTTATGTTGGGTGAAGTGTGTTGATTCAAGACAAAACTAAATTTAGTCAATAATTAATAGAAATTTAATGCATTAATTATAAATTATTTAATTCAAATGAATAAATTAAAAAAAAGGCTATGAAATTAATACTAATGTTTGTAATGGTTAACCCAATGGTTATCCACAACCCAAACCATTTAAATGGGCGGGTTGGGTGATGGGTTGATCATACAACCCGCCAAGTAAATGGGCGGGTTAGATACTAGGTGGGTTGGGTGGGCTCAGCGGGTTGGGTGACAAAATTGCCACCCCTACTTTCAAGTCAAAGGACTGCAAGCAACAATCCAAAACAATTGTCTAATCACAAAGTCTAGGAATATAATAGAAGTGGTCCGGTTCAGAATTTCATAAATGCCCACACACTAAAACTTTGGGTCTTACCCTGGCAATTGAGACAAGTTGCTCTTGCACACAACATAATACGAGTATGCCAACTTTAATTGGGTAAACTACCCCAAGTTGCTCTTGCACACAACATAATACGAGTATGCCAACTTTAATTGGGTAAACTACCCAAGAAATTGACCCACTGGTTGGGAACATTTAAATCATATACAAATTATGAGAGTCTCAGGTAAGTTATCATAATCTTAGAATGTCAATCAGGGTAAAAAACAAAAACACATACATAAACTGATTATATTGAATAATAAATCTAGTATACTACAACATTGGACTCTAAGGGCATACACTGTCCAACATACATTTTTTTATGTGTATAAATACACTAGTAGATAGAATCAAGCATTGTTAGACATATTTTGATGGTTTTTTTTTCCTTATTTGGTTGTAAGGTATCTGGAAGTGTTACATACAACGGACACACCATGAAAGAGTTTCTCCCTCAGAGGACATCCGCCTACATTAGTCAACATGATATGCACAATGGAGAAATGACTGTAAGGGAAACCTTGGACTTCTCTGTCAGATGTCAAGGAGCTGGATATAGAAAAGGTACCATCTCTCTCTAAACCTCCTGGTTTCAACTTCAAACAGCTATAAGAATTATTGGGTTTCACTCTTTTAACAAATCAATGCAGATGTCCTAATGGAACTTGAAAGAAGAGAGAAAACACAATCAATTAAACCAGACCCATATATAGATCTCTTTATGAAGGTAAATAAAATGACAACAACAGAAGAGCAAAGAAACGAGTTAATTCTCAACAAATGACTTAATCAAAGCCTTTTTCGTCTCTCTCAGGCAGCAGCTATTGAAGGCCAGAAATCCAGCATTATGACAGATTATATCATAAAGGTGAGGAATGAAAGATGATTAATTAAATATGAATTTGTGGACATAGTCATTTTGTTTATTCACGTATTGTTATGAGGACTCTATCACCATGAATTTGTTACAACATAGACCGCAGTTATGAGATAGTCAACTGATGCAAAACAACCATGAATATACAGTTGCTTGGACTGGATATCTGTGCTGATATAATCGTAGGAGATGAAATGAGGAGAGGGATTTCAGGAGGGCAGAAGAAACGTCTGACCACAGGAGAGATTATTGTGGGTCCCTCCACTACTCTCTTCATGGATGATATCTCCACAGGGCTGGATAGCTCAACAGCTTATCAGGTTGTCAAGTGTCTGCAGAATATAATCCATGCCTTTCATTATACCATGGTCGTCTCCCTTCTCCAACCCACACCAGAAACATATAATCTCTTTGATGATGTCATACTAATCTGTGAAGGCAAGATAGTCTACCATGGACCCCGACACTCCATTATTGAATTTTTCGAGAAGATGGGCTTTAGGTGTCCAGAGAGGAAAGGCATAGCAGATTTTCTCCAAGAGGTTTGTTTCCCTCTTCATATATAGAAATCCAAGAGTGATTGTTTTGATGTTCTCTTGATTGCTGATTAGGGAATATAATGGAAACCAGGTAACATCAAGGAAGGATCAAGAGCAGTATTGGTATAAGAAGGAACAACCATATTGTTACATTTCAGTCGAGGAATTCTCTCAAGCTTTTCGGTCTTTTCATGTAGGAAAAGAACTGTTTGCGGAAGTTTCTGTTCCCTATGACAGGTCCAAAGGCCATCCAGCTGCCCTTGTAAGAAAAGATTACGGGCTTCCAAGGAAAGAGCTCTTTAAAGCATGCTTGAATCGAGAAATTCTTCTAATGAAGAGGAGTGCGTTCATCTACATTTTCAGAGCCATTCAAGTAAGAGGAAATATGTCTTCCTTCCAAGTATTTTCTTTACACTTCAAATTGAAGAAATTTGTCAAACTAATCAATGCTTTGTTTCCTTCTTTGTGCCATAGATTGCAGTAGTTGCCACTTTAACAATGACAGTCTTCCTACGGACAAATATGGACCACAGATCTCTAGAAGATGGATCAAAGTACATAAGCCTCCTTTTCTTTGGATTGATAAACAACATGTTTAATGGGGTTGCCGAAGCACAGCTAACAGTCATGAAATTGCCAGTATTCTACAAGCAGAGGGATGCCAAGTTCTTTCCATCATGGATTTACTCGCTTTCGACATTTATCACAAGAATTCCAGTGTCACTGATTGAATCTTCCATCTGGGTAATCCTTACCTACTACACAGTTGACCTGGCACCGAACCCTGGAAGGTGTTCTCTCATTAACATAAAATTCAAGATTATCATCTTGTTTCAGACTCTTTTGACTCATACTATCACTATTTACTTGTCAGATTTTTTGGCCAATTGCTTTTAATGTTCAACCTTCAGCAGATGTCACTTTCCATGTTCCGTTTCATTGCGGCATTGGGACGGAATCGGATTGTGGTTAACATAATTGGAGGTTTTTTTCTACTGACAATATTTGTTCTAGGTGGATTTATAGTCTCTCGAGGTACATAAACCATTTCTTTCTGCATTCTAAATAAAAGAAAAGAACTTCACATTACAATTACTATGGTGTACCAAGAGAACTTCTTTCCTGAATGAAATTCACAGATGACATACATAAATGGTGGCTCTGGGGGTACTGGGTATCTCCTTTAATGTATGCTCAGAATGCAGTTGCCGTAAATGAATTCCTAGCAAGTAGATGGGGCGAGGTATATCCTGGCTTTCAGTGGAACAAATAAGCAGGTTAAGATGAATAGACAATAAAATCAACACTACTTTGCAGGTAGGAGAGACTCTTCTGAAGCTGAGGGGACTATTTCCGGAAGAAAAGTGGTACTGGATAGGAAATGGGGCCCTTTTGGCATACAACATTTTCTTCCATATCCTCTATACTCTTGCATTGGCATACCTAAACCGTGAGAAGAAAATCAATCTTAATTGGACTGATTTCATAATTTGGTTAATTTTCTTTGAAACTTATTTTCTCTTATTGTCTTTTCAGCTCTTGGTATGGCTCAAATAACAATAACTGATACCGGTGAAACAATAAATGGGAAAAACAGCCATATACAAGCTTCTGGTAGGCTATTATCTGTATTGTAGTAAAAATAACTAACCACTATACAAAGAATATTTGTTTTAGAATATGTGGTAGAAGGTTATATTCTAAATTTGAGTATATAATGTGTCATTGGCATTTTTCAGGAAAACAGAGTAAGACTGAGAAGAAAGGCATGGTTTTGCCATTTAAACCTCTTTCCATGGAATTTGACAATGTGAATTACTTCGTTGACATGCCCAGAGTAAGTTTGCATGTGTTGAACCAATAGTTCATTATCTAATAGATCATTCATTAATTCTAGATTTAATAAGGACCTACTAATCTCTTTTCTATCTAATGGAACACCATTAGATCAAATCAAAAAGAGATATTGATTCATGTAACAAGAAAAAGATTTCTTAATTAGCAATATATTTCTCAATTCGTCCCATTTATTCTGTTGGTGCAGGAAATGAAACATCATGGGACACCAGGGGACCGTCTCCAGCTACTACGTGGAGTAAGTGGGTCCTTTAGACCAGGTGTGTTGACATGTTTGATGGGAGTGACTGGTGCTGGGAAAACCACCCTAATGGATGTACTCACTGGACGGAAAACTTCTGGATATTTTGAGGGCACAATCACCATCTCTGGCTACCCAAAGAAGCAAGAAACTTTTGCCCGAATCAGTGGTTACTGTGAACAAAATGACGTTCACTCTCCCAACCTTACTGTTTATGAATCTCTTCTTTTCTCGGCTTGGCTTCGACTACCTGCTGAAGTGGATATGCAAACAAGAGAGGTGAACTCCATTGAACCACTATCAAATTTTTATAGTAGACCAGCCAGACCTAGACAACTTCTATGAACCATTTATTCAATGAAACAAAAGCTTCAAATTTGTTATGCAGATTTTTGTGAGGGAGGTGATGGAACTGGTTGAATTAAACAATCTTAAGGATGCCCTGGTTGGCATTCCAGGTGTTACTGGACTCTCAATGGAACAAAGAAAGCGTCTTACCATAGCTGTTGAACTTGTAGCCAACCCCTCCATTATTTTCATGGATGAACCTACTACTGGTCTTGATGCTCGAGCTGCAGCAATTGTGATGCGAACTGTCCGCAACACAGTAGACACAGGAAGAACCGTAGTTTGCACTATTCACCAACCAAGTATCCACATCTTTGAGTCATTTGATGAGGTTTGATTTGCAAATGAATCATTCAACAAAACACCCAAGTTCAAAATTTTACACCAACTTTCAACTACTATGCCTCCTTATTTGTTGGTGAATTTGTTTTCTGCAACAGCTATTACTTATAAAACAGGGAGGACAAGTAATATATGCAGGTCCACTTGGAAAACAGTCACAGGAGCTCATCAACTACTTTGAAGAAATTGACGGAGTCCCAAAGATACCTCCTGGATATAACCCAGCAACATGGATGCTGGAAGTAACTTCAATACCTTCTGAAAATCATCTTGGAGTAGATTTTGCAGAAATTTACCTTAACTCAACTCTCTATGAAAAAACCAAATCAATTATAGAAGAACTTAAAAAACCAGTCCCTGGATCCAATGATCTACACTTCAAAACCAGATTCTCACAATCTTTGTGGGTTCAGGCAAAGGCCTGTCTCTGGAAGCAACATTGGTCATACTGGAGGAATCCGCAATACAACGCTGTCCGCTTTTTCTTCACTCTCATAGGTGCTATACTCCTTGGAAGCTTGTTTTGGAACATGGGAAGCAAAATGTAAGCATCTGCCTCCACCAAAAACTTGAAATGAAAATCCCCAATTAACTACTAACTCATTTTTCTCCCCCATATTGGTTTCTTATGACTGGATGTGCCAGTGAAAAGCAACAAGATGTTTTCAATGCCTTGGGATGCATGTACACTGCAGTTGTTTTCCTAGGATTCATAAATGCAGCATCCGTGCAGCCAGTGGTAGACATTGAGAGGAGTGTTTTCTACAGAGAAAGAGCAGCAGGCATGTATTCTGGTCTTTCATATGCCTATGCCCAGGTAACCTGAATCTGCATAACTTATTTCTCTAGCATTTGATGACCAAGTAATCTCATATATACTACAATAGATCAAAAGTGATTATTTAAGTTTGGTACAAATTGTGAATCATACAGCTAATGATGGAGCTTCCTTATAACTTCGTCCAAGCCATCATATATTGTGTAATCATCTTCTCCGCTTTAGGCTTCCAGTGGACAGCAGCTAAATTTTTGTGGTTCTTCTTCTTCACGTTCTTCACTTTCCTGTACTACACATACTATGGTATGATGACCGTCGCCTTGACTCCCAACACCACAATTGCAGCCATTGTGTCTACAGCATTTTATGGATCTTGGATGATGTTTGCTGGTTTCATGATTCCCAGAGCTGTGAGCAGTAAATTTGTAGTTCTTACCTCTTCTTTTGATGTGTTTCTATTTAAGTTATTTAACCACTCACTTGCTATTTGCAGAGCATCCCTGTCTGGTGGAGATGGTATTACTGGGCAAACCCTGTTGCGTGGACGCTATATGGTACAGTGGTTTCCCAATTTGGAGATATCACAACAACCATATTAACATATGAAGGAATTCAAATCCCTTTAAAGGATTTTCTAGGCACTTATTTTGGTTTTCACCTTGACATGCTGCCAACTGTTGCCTGTGTAACTGTCGGCTTTTCTCTTCTCTTTGCCTTTGTATTTGCCCACTCTGTATGCATTCTTAACTTCCAAACCAGATGAAGATTTATATAAACATAGTTTGAACTGTTGACTTCCAAGCTAGATTAGAAAATGGATTCAATAACTTATAACATTATCCTTGTCACTAATTCATAGCATTGTTTTCAATTCTTAATGGGTAATTAATTGAGTTTATTGCAAAAATAAATAAATAAATAAATAAAAACATGTTCTTGATCCATGTTTTTGTTTTGAGAAGCAAAAGCAAATTGATTCTGCTTAAAAAAAAAAGACAATTCATGTTCATGAAACTATCAAAATGGATGGTTTCTAAAACAAAACAATATTTGAAATACAGAGTTTTGGTGGGAGCTCTTTTAAGGATCTCTTCCAGGAAAGTATTAGATTAGTGAACCTGAAGGTATCTCTCTGAAGGTTTTCATTGCAATTGGCATTATAGAAGTGGTAATCAATCAACTGGCATAAAAAAAATGGTAACCAATCAGGTGGTTTTCATCAAAATTCACAGGGTCACAGGGGTTTTGATTGGTCAAAACCTTTCCAGCATCATAGATTCTCCCAATTATTAGACTGTGTTTGGTAAGAATGCAAAAAGTGAATGCACTGACGTAAATGCAAATTTGTTCAAATAAAACGATTCAAACATTCTTCTCCTTCTCGGGCCTTCTTAGTCTTCTGTGTTTCAGAGTCTTCTCTAACCCTCGTTTCTCCCTTCTTCCCCTCTTCCCGTCTTATCCCCTCTCTATTTTCAGTCTTCTGATCTTCATCATCTTTTGTTGGTATTGGTCTTCTTCACGCATGAATCATGCAAAAGGTTCAACAACCAGAAACACGGGACGTGATAATCTGGATTCACAGATTGAAAACATGCTCTCTGACCAGCCGCCTCGTGCTGCAACAAGGCAAGGTGACACTTTGCCATGAGCCTGAATGTGAAAGATAGATACCTTGTCATCAAGATTCTTACCAATCGAGAAACCAGGCTTGTTGCTCTTCAAGAGACCCTGTCTCGAAGTTGGAAGTCATCGGATAGAAACTCGGTGGCAGGGTTTTGTGATGATTCTTACGGAGTGAAGTTTCCCTCGAAACATGCAAGAGATGGTGCGTTTACCAAAGGACCCTAGACTGTTTGCGATCATTACGTGATTATGGATAACTATTGATGAGGAATAATTTTGCCCGTCAAATGATGTGGCGGCACATGGAGTGAGAAAACTATATAGTGACACCTCAGCGATTTCGGTGACCTCAGCGATCCTAGTCACCTCGTCGACCTTGGGTCACCCAGCTAGACCGAGCGAGAAGTAAGTCAATTGTCTCCGATTTCCTCAGGATCATAGCACCACGTCTACAGAGTTCATCTTATCCCTGTCTGATTCGGATGGACCTGGATAAGCCTTATCAGCTTATGCGGAGTCCATTTTCGAATGCGAAACCAACTCTGGACCAGACGGGCTGAGAATCTCAGACACGCATCGTGAGGCCTACAGTAGCCTGCCTATATAAAGGCCTTGCCTCTGGCCTTACAAGGTATGCACGACTCAGCTCTTAATACTCTTTCAACATAGATTTCAGCTCTCTCATAAACCTCCAATTTGCTAACTCAAGCATCGGAGTGCCCACACCAAGTAAAGCACCCTAGACACTCTGACATTCTTTTCTTGCAGCTCGACTAGGTGACCTAGCTTGCCCGACGTCCGAGATGTCCTCCAGTAGGGAGCACCAGATCGCGCACCATCATTTAGTGCCGTCTATGGTAATGCTATAAAAGCCAAGTTCTCACCTTACTTTAATACTATTAGCTCATTGGCATCATCAAGCAACCAACCTGCTAACAACAACAACCAAGTCATAGGGGGGTAGGACCAACTTGGAGTACACCCCGAGATCCCCTCAATGACCATTGGGCAGTTTACTGTACCACTGACCTTATCAAGCATTCCAGTCATGCAGAATCCTATCACACAATCTGCCCAACATGAGCGTGCCTCTCCCTCCAGTTGAGCCCTCAGTGGTTCCTGTTGGGATCGACCCGCGCATGTTCAATGAATTGGTACAGTTATTCCGTGGGATAGACTTGTAGATGAGAATGTGGGAGGGTCGCTTCGTGGCAATGGCCAAACAGTAACAACAATAACATCAGCAGCAACAACAACAACAACAACATATGAATCATAACCAAAATCAGGACCAGGTTCTGGATCCTTCTTGTCGCATTGACAACCGGAACCAAGTCCTAGTCGAAGAGCTCAATCGAGCAACCACATGAGTAGGGACTAAAGCAAACAGCTCAATCAAGGTGTCGAGGAGAAGGCGCCATCAACGTGTGCACCACAACATAGGGAGAAGCCACCTCGCTCCCACCAACAATAACAAGGAGACAAGAAGGAAAGAAGAGGGCAGCCAGGTCTCTGTCTTGCCAGACCCACACCTCCTCGCTAGCACTAGAGATCCTTATGGCCCCACAGCCTAAGGACTTTAAAGCCCCAAGCCTTGAGTCCTACTATGGGACCACCGACCCAGTTGACCACCTAAATAGCTTCCAGGCCCTGATGCAACTACATGGGAAGAATGACGCAAGCCTTTGCATGGCCTTCCCGACCACTTTCCAGGCACAACTTGGATGTGGTACCCAAGGCTGGCCATGGGCTCCATTAAGAACTAGAATATGTTTGCCAACTTATTCACAAACGTTTCACCATCAGAAGAGATTTCCAAAGTCGGGAACTTGCCTCCTAAATGTGGTCCAACAACCTAATGAGACGCTCCAGGACTACATCAAGTGGTTTAACCTAAAGAGCCTACAGATCCCGAAACTCAACCTAGCTGTTCAACTCACTGCATCAGTCAATGACATCTGACACCCTGACTTGCCTTGAGAAGTCAAGTTGAACCCTCTGTCTTCCATGGAGGAGTTCCTCCACCAGGCCAACAAGTTTATTAAGGCTGAAGAGGCGCTCGGATCCTTATTAGAGCTAAGCGGGAAGAGGAAAAGAGCAAAGGAAGAGGTGGGGAGCAGTGAGCAGAAGTGGAAGAGTAAGTCGTCCAAGAGAAGCATGTCTCCCCGTAACAAACACAACAAGTCAACCAGAAGAAGAAGCAGGTCTTCATACAGGAGCAACAGGTCGTTAGGCCGACGTTTGAGGACCCCTCCCGTCCAAAACAGAAGCTACACCGCCTTCAACATGAAGAGAGGGGAAATCCTGGTGCAGATCAAGATAGTCGAGTACGTCAGGTGGCCACCCAGGACAAGAGGAGATCCCACCAACAAAAATCCCAACAAGAACTACCACTTCCACCTCGACATTGGTCATGACATCAGAGAACTATTGCAACCTCAAGGACAAGATCGAAGAGGTGATCCGTCGAGGCTATTTGAAATAGTTCATCAAGAGAGATGACTGGAGTCGACCTGCCGACCAGCCAAGTGAAGTGCCAAAGTCGAGTACCCAAGTTGGGTTGCCAACGTAGTGTTCGTTAAGAAAGCCAACGACAAATGGCGCATGTGCATCGACTACACCTACCTCAACAAAGCTTGCCCAAAGGACAACGTCAGTACCCAATTTTTGCTCAGTCCTCTATCTGAACCCCCAACTCACCTTCAAACACTAATTAAACCATTTTGAACCCCACCTCATACCCTAAATTCCCAAAAGTACCCCTTCTTCCAAAAGATACCAAAATCCCCTTACCCCAAATTCCCAAAGTACCACACCTTCCAAAATGACAAAAATACCCTTGACCAGGACCAGGATACCCGAATTACCCCTTGGACCAATTCCCAAATTACCCCTAACCCAATTCACAAAATACCCCTCCCTCCAAAATACCCTTGACCAGGTTACCCGAATTACCCCTTAGACCAATTCCCAAATTACCCCTAACCCAATTCACAAAATACCCCTCCCTCCAAAATACCCTTGACCAGGTTACCCGAATTACCCCTTAGACCAATTCCCAAATTACCCATGACCTAATTCCCAAAATACCCCTCCCTCTGAAATTACCAAAATATCCCTCCCTCCAAGATTACCAAAATACTCCTCCCTCCAAAATCACCAACATACCCCTTCTTTCAAAATCACTAAAATACCCTTCATTTTCCCCCTCTCCAAATGCCCAAAAATATCCTTAACCAAATGACCAAAATACCCTTGACCAAATTACCAAAATTATCCTTGCACCAAATTCCCAAAATACCCCTAACCAAATGTCCAAAATACCCTTGACCAGATTACCAGAATTACCCTCAAACTAAATTCCCAAAATACCCCCTAATCTAATTCCCAAATTACCCCAAGTTTCCAAAAAATGCCCTCTAAACCCAAATTACCCAAATCACCTGAATTGCCCAAACACCTCTAAGCCGTCATTCATTTACCCACTTCAAATCCTAACTCACCCACTAGAACTCCTCATTCATTTTGAGAAATTTCGAAAAACTCGTCCTTCACATTATAAAAGGGATCGATCCTAAGAGGAAAAGGGGTGGATGGGGTGAAACTTGAGAAGGGGGTTTGGTCGCCTTAAGTTTTTGAAGGAAGAGAGAGAGTTCGAGTGGGCTAAAGCAAGCTATCTGGGAGAGAAAAAGCAAGGCGTCTGAGAGAGAAAACGAGAGAATGCTAGTCGGATGAGGGAGGTTTAAAGAGGGAGTCTCGAAGCTCGACTGAGTGAGGGAGATTGAACGGGACTGAGATGAGAAGAGAGGCACCTTTCGAGAGAGAAGAGAAAAGGTTTTTTGGGAAGAAAGAGTAGCGAACAAGGGTTAGGGAAGCTCTACTCATCAGTCCTTTCTCTAGGTTTTCGTCAACTCCTGAAAAAAATTCCTCTAACCAAACGCTTCAGTGGAAGAGTAGATTCTTATCTTCTTCATTTCTTTACTCTGGTTACATCTCATCGCCGATGGCTCCATCCGCGTAGCCATCCAGTTCGAACCCAAGCTGGCATTCCGCCGCTAAAAAGAGATCGCCAGGAGGCCGAGCTTCTCAAAGTCTCTTGCAGCATTTTTTTGTTTCAGACTACAAGAGGTAAATCTTCTACCTCATCCTTATTTAATTATTTATTTTTTTAGAGTCTTTTCTACTGGTTGAATAATAAAGTCTATTAATCTAACTTTGGTTTCATTATCTCAGTTCCTTGCTATTGACTTAATCAGCTCGCTGCAGCTTTTCTTTTTTGGGTAAGAATCATGTATTATCTGGCATTTGAAGAAGGAGGTTGTCTCGCTCTCTCCACACCTCAGACTTACCAATTCAGTCCGAAGGTGGGGATTTTTGCTCAGGTCCCTACGTCCAAAAGGAGTTGGTTTGAAGGAGGGAGGGGAATGCTATTTCAATAACACCCTTCCAATTTGCTAGAAAATATGGAATCCCAATCCACCAACTTGGTGTATTTCTTTGTTTTACAAGCAAAATCAAATAAAAAAATTAATTACAAAGAGGGGATTTCAGCATTCACCCAGGGGTGCCTAAACCCTTCTCTCTCTCCCTCTCAAGATACCCAGATGAGCCTTGCTTCAGCCGAGTGGTATAGAGTCACTATTAATTCAGAGATGTTTTACCAAAGGTAAATCCGTGAGCCCCATCACTCCCCGTTAGTTATTTCTGATGGGTGGCAACTACATCTATTTGTCCATGAAGTGAACTGCCAGAGGGATATTTTTCCAATGTTCATAAACAGTTTCCTGCTCCATAGGATTGATTATCTAGTAGACACTACCTCAAGGAATGAGTTATTGGGTTTCATGGACGCATACTCCGGCTATAACCAGATTCGGATGCACCCAATTGACCAGGAAAAGACTGCATTTATAACTGAAGTAGGCTTGTACTATTACAAAGTAATGCCCTTTGGTTTGAAAAATGCTGAAGCAACTTTCTAGTGACTTGTAAACAAAATTTTCTCAAAATTAATTGAAAATAAAATAGAGGTATATGTTGATGACATAGTAGTAAAGATTCGGTTTTCTAATTCTTTAATTTCCGACTTGAATTCCGTTTTTGAATTTCTGAGAAAATATAATGTGAAGTTCAACCCTAATAAGTGTAGGGCAAAGGCTGTCCAACGTTCTTTGGGCCTATTGAACTACAATTAAAACGGTAACCAGAGAGACTCCCTTCAATCTAACAGATGGAATGAAGGCTATCGTCCCTATCGAGATCGAAGTGTCGACCTTACGGTCTGAGGCATACGACAAAGAGACCAACGAGAACGAGTTGCGAACCAACCTCGACCTAGTAGAAGAAGTCTAGGACTTTACATATATTCGGACCGCGACCTACTAGCAGCGAGTAGCTCGGTACTATAATGCCCGAGTCAAGAGACGCCAATTCCAAGTCGGCAACCTAGTACTCCAGAAAGTTCTGCTACCTAAGCTCGGTGTTGGAAAGTTAGGACCGAACTAGGAAGATCCCTACCTACTTAGGGTAATCAGTGAATGAATGTACAAGCTCAAGACATTGGAGGGGAGGCAGGTACTGCGTGCATGGAACGTGGATAACTTAAGAAGATACTATGTCTGAGTTGAGGAGTTTGGTGTCCACAACTTCAAAAATTTCATTGTGTAAAAAAAAGAGACCACCCGCTTCAATGACTTGGTTGAGCCAATCTACATTATGGAATACGTCAACTAAACTATATCTAAAGGGGATGCCAAGTTGCTCTCAGTCTAAAGGCCCCCTATGCCGACCTTGCGATGATGTAGGCAATTCAATAACTTCGGCACCTAGGCACTTTCGGTCATTATCCCTTACTATGCTTAGTTGCTTTGACACCTAGGCACTTCGAGTTATAATCCCATACTTAGTCTACTTTTTGAAGTATATCTTTCAAAGAAGGTAGATGCAAGGTGTACAAAAATAAGTTTCATTAAAGATGAAAAAGAGTTACATCATCAAAAAAAAATTCAGGTCGAGCTTGGAGGCTTGGCACATTATATATATACTAGGGGGGTCCAAGAAAAGAGACAAGATACTTCAAACATCATAGGGCTCCTCGACCGCATCACCAACAACCTCAGTGGCATCAACATCGACCTCAATAGCTCTCTCACTAGTTGCAACTCCCTCGTCGACCCCATCTTTCTCATCCTCAGAGTCAAGCTCTAGATCGACTCGATCCATCATCTCATTCATGCAAACTGAGGACTTTATCTTGAAAAGGTCGACCTTGGGGTACATCGACCCCACCAGCATCCGACACCTCTTGAAGCCTTAGCGAAAAGTGCTGGTGTCAAACTCCTCCATTTCCTTCAGGAAGTCTGGTGAAGTCTTGAACTCCTCGACAACTAGAACCCTAGAAGCCTAGACCTCATCAAGAAGCTATGCCTTATGCTCGACGAAGAGAGCTTCCTTCTACTACAGTTCTTGGTTGAGCTTCTTGACATGAAGCTCCAACTCACCAATCTGGTTCCGCTTTGCGACCAACTTGTTTTTCATCTCGTTAATGAATGGAATGGTCCGTTCAACCCGAAACTGGTACTCATTCGTTGCCGCCTCGATAAATTTAACTCTCACTGGATGCCTTTCAGATTACCTGAATAAGGAGTGAGTCAAAGTGTTCGCCTACAAAAGAAAATAGAAGCTAAGTATGGAATACAAATCAAGAATAACACGACAAAGAGATTGGAAACTTACCATCATGAGGTAGCACATGGTTTTGTCGCCAAGCATGCTAGGATGTGCTTCACGAAGTTCAGCGACCTCCTCGAGGAATACAACCTCCTTGATTTTAATTAGGGGGGTCCAAAAATCCATGACAGTACGCCTCCCCTTGGAAACATCCTCCGCACCCAAACTTTTGATCACCACAGCCCTGGGTGGTAGATGACGTGCCTTGGATGTTTGGGCTGCCTCAGTCTCTAGTGAGGTCCTCTTTGGCTGATCTTCTCCAACCAGGTTGACCACCGGGACCACCTTGGTAGCACTCGATGTTGTAGACTCGGGATCTAGTACCCAAGGTGCTTCCTCAACGATTACCTTTCTCTTCTTCTTCCTCCTCATGTTTTGAAGCAACCCGAAAATTGGTAAGCTCGACATGTCTCCTACACGAGAAGCCTAAGAGCTAGTCAAACTAACTTAAAGTAAAGAAAGGGAACTCCCAAGCCTGAGACGATGACCTACCCGGAGGACTCAACCCGGCCTGGATCAACTTCTCCTCAAACAAGAAATCACTCAGCATCAATTGGTAGTCCACAAGGTTCCTCACTCTGGCCTACACCTGCTCGCATAAGGTCTCATCCCCGGAGTCTCTTGCCCCCTCTCTCTAGGACATCAAGAACGGCCATCCACCAAGTAGCTCAAGGAAGAAGTACTTCCTCTTCCTGGCTGGCACTTTGGAAGGGAAGCTGTGCAAAAGTTTGTACCTGGGTCGGTAAGACAAGTAGTAACTAACCTTACCCAAGGTGATGACAGGGTTCTGTTTAATTTGGAAGAGGCTGGCAAATGTCCTAACATCTAGGGGAAGGCCGATATGATGACAAAAGGAAATTGCACTGATTAGAGTACAAATTGAGTTCGGGTGCAACTAACATAGGCTAATATTGTAATAATTTAGGATCTCAGGGATAAATAGGTGAAGAGGAAACCAGAGACTTGCCTTTAGAGCCTCCTCGAAGATGGCGACTTCGTCCTCGTCATGCTCCCAAGGGAATGCCCCAAGAAGAAGGGAGTAGTTGAATTGTTCGGGGATCCTATACCGAGCCGCAAGTTCATAAATCTCATCGGCAGAAAGTCTAGTGGGACCAAAGTGGTCCGATACCTTGGCCCTAGATGGCCGATGGGAAGACGAAGCCCCATTATGGGAACCTCATCAGTCTTGGACCGAGGACCCCTCCTTAGCCTGATCGGGAAGCCCTCTCTCCTCTCCAGACTCACTACTAGACATAATGGAAAAAGCAAGGAAAGACGACTCACCTAAGGAACGAAATAACCGATCTCGCTGACTTGATCAAAGACTCCTACAACATCATGCTCTACGACCTCAATATGCACCGAAACTCAGTTGGGACAAAAGAAATGGGCCCCTAAGGTCCCTATTTATAACCATCTAAGCCAAGCGTGGATGGTCCAGATCGAACAAATCCAACGGTTCCTAGGGGTGGGACTGTTCGAATTCCGAGTCCGAGGCAAAAATAGTTGAGAACGTTTTCGACGTCCACGGACCTTAATGACTAGCATGACGTCCATGCGTACCTAAGATGCAACCTCGCCCCAAGGTCGAGCCAGTTAAGTCGGGCTCGGGAGTGAGGGGCAATTGATGAGGGATAATTTGGCCCATCAAATGATGTGACAACACGTGGAGTGAGAAAACTATATGGTGGCACCTCAGTGATCCTAGTCACCTCGCGCACCCCGGGTCACCCAGCTAAACCGAGGCTCGAATAGCTCAACTATGTGCACCGATCTGCTGAGGTGCCATGTAACCTCCATCCAGAAGCAAGCCAACTATCTCCAATCTCCTCGGGATGATGACACCACATCAATGGAATTCATCTTATCCCTGCCCGATTCAAATGGACCTAGATAAGCCTTATCAGCTTATGTGGAGTCAATCTTTAGGTGCGAAACCAACTCCGGACCAGACGAGCCGAGGATCTTCGACACGCATCGTGAGGCCTACGATAACTCGCCTATATAAAGACCTTGCCTTTAGCCATACAAGGCGTGTACGATTCATCTCTCTCAATACTCTAGCAACATAGATTTTAACTCTCAAAAACCTCCAATTCGCTAACTTAAGCATCGAAGTGCCCACACCGAATAAAGCATTCTGGACACTCTAACATCCTTTTCTTGCAGCTTGACTAGACGACCTCTCTAGCCCGACATCCAAGCTATCCTCCAGTAGGGAGCACAAAATGGCACCGCCTTGACCCCGAGTTATAGTAAGACACCACTCAAAGGTGTTGTCACCCGAGAAGGTGACAAGCAAGATATTCGAATGGTAGGAAAATGTGACAAGTCTTTATTCACTCAAATTCAAATGGAATTTATAGAGGTCTTGTCAGACCATTACAATTCAATCATTGATAATCATTACAAAATATTCGCTCAAGGGTAGTTGTAAGGCTAACATGCGTCGACAACTAACCCTGTCCTTCAGGAGACACATCAACGAAACCGCCCCTCCTGGTCTCTGTGCATGTTTGTACTCCATTAATGGTAGTGGTTCATATCATTCCCCCTCCATTAGGATCGTCCTTGTCCTCAAGGACAACATCTAGAAACTTACGATAGAGATCGTACCAGTACTCCCACATGGCAGTTGCTTTCGAAGTGCCTTCCCATAAGATTAAACATTCTGGGTCAGGCTTGTTCCCGTGTTCTACAATGCGCTGTTGCAGTATGGGCTTCAGGTGAGGAACAAGTGACCCATCGGATTGCACAGGTGGTAAAGTGGATTAAGCAGTTGGATCCCACATTCTTCTTTAGTTGGGACACACGGATCATCGGATGCA